GTCGCTAGTGGTTGTGGGAATTGTTTGTGCTATCTTCGCTGAGTATGTGACTTGTAAAGGCTGCTCGTAGCCTCTCTCACGGCGGGATTGAATATCGTTCTCATAATGGAGAAATGTCTCCGTGATGTCTCGTGAAAGCTCGAGACGGAATGTCTCCGGTTACTATCGTAACCTCGGTTCCCTGAGAGCGGGAAAGAGACATCACGGAGGTCGCCGTGTTCGCTGCTCGACCAGATAAGCGGCGTTCAGTATCAGATTCTGACGTCGCGTGCACCGCATTTTATACTGCCTCTCGAGCGCGTCAGTATTTGCATGCGATTTGCATACTTCGCGACATTTGGCCAGTCATTTGGACTGGCGTGAGCCAATAGGACTTCAGGAAAGGTTGGAAGGGAAGGAGTTCCTATAACGGAGAAATGTCTCCGTGATGTCTCGTGAAAGCTCGAGAGGGAACTGGATAACTAGTTGTCTGTTACATCATACAGTGCGAGAGAAAGCCGCTCTGCTGCACAAACGCGTGGCTACCATGTGTTGCGTGTTTTCGTGTGGTTTCAGTAACTTACAGTGACGGAGAAATGAGCTGTGAGTCATCTGTCTCGTTCCCGCTCTCAGGGAACCGAGGTTACGATAGTAACCTGAGACGTTTTGTGCAGTTGGAGTGGTGCTCACGTCACGGTCTCTGCGATTCCTAGCGGAACATAAATACAAACTGAAAAACCTGTGAAATCCAAGTGGAAAGGTTCTGAGAATGTTTAACATCTGTATTTCTTTTATTGTTTTAAAATGTTTTTTTTTTTTTAAGAATCCTGCAAGCCCTTTATTTTTCATTGATATTAAGCAGATGTAATTCTTTTGTTCAGATCAAAATGTTATGACATTGTATGTTACAATTGTAAACTTAAACTGTGAACATTTAAAGCAGGGTCTAAAAATATATATGGTCTTTTTATAAAAATACATACTATACATTTTACTAAAGGATCCTTTCATTTTTCCCCCTTGACTCGTACTGCACAAAAAGTGGTTCAATAACGCTGAATGTTACAGGGACTGATTATCAGTGTTGGGGGTAACTCGTTACAAGTAATGCGAGTTACGTAATCAGATTACTTTTTTCAAGTAACTAGTAAAGTACAAAAGTAATATAACACATTACTTTCCATAAAAAGTAACGAAGTAACGTAATTAGTTACTTTTTTTAGGGAGTAATGCAATATTGTAATGCATTACTTTTAAAAGTAACTTTCCCCAACACTGCTGATTATTGCAAATGCAGATCCCACTGTGTTCTGGTTAAATTATTTGTATTTATTTATTTATTGCTAAGGTTTGCATATGGTGGTGTGTTCTTAATGACAGCTTTCCTAAAATATATCCTATTCCTAAAAGAAGAAATATCCCAATATATGGCCTTGCTTACAGTATCGCAACATATCGTATCGCAACCCCTGTATCATGATACGTATCGTATCGCCAGATTCTTGCCAATACACAGCCCTACATTTTTCCACCTCGCACTTTTTTCAAACTAATGTACACTGTGCCTAAACAACTGTGTTGACAGTTTGTTTATTTAGGTTGAACGTGGTGGGTTTGGATTTGTAGATAAATCACTAAAACAAAGTAAAGTATATGAATCAGCGGCAGAAATCACTGACATCTTCATGAACACTTTGTCTCCAAGCTGCAAATTAAACCATTTTATCAAATGCAAACATAGTAACATAACTGCTGTAATAATACTTCAACAACAACAAATGACTGTGTCAGCGATTCATATAATAAATAATGTATAACTTTGAAAGTGTTTGCATGTAGCTTGATTGCTAAACACAATAAAATTCCCGTTATACAGCTGGGAAACGATGATGCAACTTACCACATTCAATGTGAAACACAATTCCATCTCTGACTTTAAACATCACGAACTTTTCTAACTTTTCCAACTTTTCCCTGCGGTATTTTTGCTGTTTTCATACTTTTCGTAACTTCAGTCCCGCTCTTGGTCAATGATACTCCAAAACATCTTGAGACCGCAAACACATCTGGCCACGTATGTAAAGAAAACTACAAATACCATAGGCCACATTCTCACCAAACGGCCTTTAAAGGGATTTGTAGTTTTTTAAGAAACACAACCTAGTTGACTTAACGACTCCCGTCCCAGTAGAAAACTACATTTCCCACAATTCCAGAAAACCCGGAATCACAGTTCCCGTAGTCCTGGCTGTATGTACTGCCTGTTTCCTGCAGCAGAGAAGGAGGTGGTGTCGAGAGACTGGCAAGATTCGACAACATCGCAACCTCAACCAACACCACTATACAATGAAATTATCATCAATAATACCCACTCCCGAACTGCACTACTTCACCCTCCTGCTGGTATGTGGCTGAGTAATCCCGTGCTCTTTCAGTAACACTCTTCTCCAGGTTTACTTGCAATAGCTAGCTCATATAACGCTAGCTATTGGAAGGGTTTTATGGACTTGGATGTGATGCTCTTGATTTACATCGGTAATTAACGGGTTATTATAATAAGGTCTCCAGATTTGGAAGAACGGGTGACTTTAACTATGTCACTTCTGAATATGTCAATAGGTTTAATGGCCTGTGATGAATGTAGGTTAGCTGCAGAAAGTGCTAGACAGCTGGCTAATGTGGCTAACCAGCTATTAGAGTGACCGGACTTGCAGCTGCAAGTATGGGACGTTTTGAGAGTTTATAGTCTGTTGGCCAACTATTCCCATTTAATGTATAACCACACTCTCATATAAACATGCCAACTTATATGATTAATTTAGAGTGTTTGCAAGCAAACTAAGAGTCATTCAATCATACAACCTTTATTTTAAGCAGTTTCAAATACAGTGTTGAAAGGGCCAGGAGAGTTTTGCTCTCTAGTGTAGTGTAGTGTAGATGAATAAGAAGGCACCACGTCATTAACAACGCAAGTTTGGGAACTTTGCACGGGTTTTAAATGATAACTGCAACTTGTTGGAATAAACAAATGTTTGAGGTGCTTACAAGTATCTTACTCTCATTCATAGTTGTGACAGCGTTTAATGTGAGCCTATTCAATACGGAAAGTCCTTTAACAAATGAATTAAGCGCTTGAAATCGGGTTTTACAATAGGAACGATAGAATTATCAGGTGTCAACAGTGATCTTTATAGTCCTAAAGTAAAGAGAGGGACATTTTGGTATTCATTTCATCCGACTTTGCAGTGAAGAAACCGGTTGGTGAACGTCTCTGTTGTGGCCGAATCCTATTGGCTGTCAACCCGGAAGTGACCCGCGCTGCTCCGCGCAGCACAGCATGATGTGAAAACCACAGCAGCGGTATCCTTGCTGCCTGTGTGGTACATTTAAACAAGCTTTTAATTGCTCTTGGGTTGTATTTTAGTAGGGCCAGCATACTGGTTCATGATCATAAATGTTTTGACATTTGGTCTTTTTTTCCTTTGTGAAAGTAATATCTATCACCTCAGAGCAGAGGTAGTTAGCTTGTGATTGACCTCTGAGAGCTTCTGTTTGTCTTTTATTAATCATTTCAATAACATGAGTTAAAATGCTTGTAATCCCAACTCATTTTATGTCACAGTGCATAATTGTGTGATATAGTTCATTCCTCACTCTGATATAGTATCAAAGCAACTTCATGATAGCAATAACTACATAAACCCACTTTTGCCTGATAAGGGTGAAAAAACAGTGTGAAGCATTACTGATTTATGATTTCAACCCATTTTAATAAATGTTATCACAAGTCATTCTCACACGTCTACTAGCTACATAACACTACTTTGATGACATATTTAAAGTAAGTAGCGACATATAATATCTTCCATATTTTTACGTACACTCGAGTGTAACAGATTCTCAAAAAGAAAATATCTATAGCATGCATATAGAAAATAAATAGGGTGAACTTTCATTTCATGCCATCTTTAAATAAAAGTAATTTTTGCATAACAGCAATCAAAATGTTTACGTTGGTGAACCATAAAAATGTATATAAAAGTAAAGGCCCATTCTCACCAAGGACGGTAACTATAAGTTATAACTATATCATTTTAATTCTGTGAGAATTGTGAAGTCCAAACCACAGCTGGAACAATAGTATGAATCATTGTCAGAGCAATTTTAAGTTTACAATTTTAAAAAGCTCAAGCATTTAAAGCAGCAGATCATCTGCAGTGAGCTTTAATAATATACAGAATTGTATTGAATTTTTATTGAATTTTATTGGTGTGGACCGGTCATTCTTTGTGTGAATGGACCTTAATTCTTTCAACAACCCTGTACTTGCAGCTTTACCTATGAACTGAGACTGCAGCATACAATTGAAAAATACTCAGTGGAACTGGACTCTAAAAATGTTAATTTACTTGTAGAACCTGCTGATGAAACCTGTTTGTTTGTCTGAGTAGAAACCCCCCATATTAGAGCTGGGAAACTCTTTGTGATGAATCTCGTTAAGAAATGGATATGCATGTGTCCAAATTTGTTTACCGAAAACACGCCATATGTTGGGTCTAGCTGTGATTTTGTACTTTGCGATCCGAGCGGTTGAGATCAGCCCATGTGGAGCCGTGTGTTTGTTTAGTTTCTGTGGCTGTGTTGTGACAGTTGGAGACTTGAGTTGTCTGAGAGATTTGCCAGTGAATTTAGGCAGTGTTGTTTAGCAGATGCCAGTTTTGTTGAGGAGGATCACATATGCCTCGGTGTGTGTGTGTGTGTGTTTGATATTGTTTAGTTCTGAATGTTTTTTTCTTCCTATTATAGTCTCAGTATTCGATCATGGACTTTAAGACGGCTAGTGTGAGGAGCTCTGCATCATATAATTTGCATTCAGTCAGTCTTGCCGTTCACAGTGTACTTGTCAAGTTAGTCTGTCTCACAGTGTTTATTTAAGGAGGGGTAAAGATGTCTGTAGTATAGCATTATACCTGTCTTCAGGCTATCTTTGATGCAGTGAATCAAACAGGAACAGCAGACTCATCCAGCCAGCCAACCTCTTTAACATGTGGCATTATCAAATCCATTTATCACATATGTTAGATAGCCACGTTACTTAGCTTCAATGAACTTTGGTAGTGATATGATCGTTTCAGAGTAAAATGGCAAAAGTCCAAACTACATTTCGTTACGTTGTTTTTTATGTTACAGAAAGGCAAGTCTGTCACAATTATGGAACTTTTTTCTGCAAGTAATTGTTATGATAAAATAAATTAATTGTGTGTTTTGCTCATGTCAGTTACAGTGCTTGCGTAATCCACATATATCTTAAGACACCATTTATGAACTGAAATTGTAAACATATAATATGTATATTATGAATATAATGTAACATTTAATGTAACATTTTAACATTTAAATAATAATGTAAGTCTTACAAGTCTAAGCAAGTAATATGTGTGTAGATATGACTAAAATGCTCTAAATATTAAAGTACATTATGTGGTAGTAGTATTATTACAAAAATATGGTAATACTATTAATTTAGTATAAAAATGATGTGTATTGCACATATATCAGACAGACATGGCTATGATATGACATGGCTATGTCTGTGTATATATGTTCATTTAAGCAAAAAGCTTTTCTTTATTTTATCAAAATTCCCTTATTTGAGTAGTAGTATGTGATTGGAATTTAAAGTGCACTGCACAATGATCACAGTTAGATTAGATTATGGGAGTTTATCAGTTTTCACTGTTTCTAAGTAACAGTGAGGCTTAAATGTACTTTCCTATTAAAGGGGGCTTTTGGGAAAAAATTGAGAAATAGAAAATGATTTGTTTCAAAAGGATATCTTAGGTAAAACATCTTTTGTTGATAAGAGACTTAGGACTCATTCTTATAGCTACTAGACACTAGACTTTAATCTTTAATCTAGGGCTGCACAATTAATCTAATTTCTAATCGTGATTACAATTACGGATGCCACAATTACGTAATCGTTCAAAGCAGCAATTAATCGTTTAAAGTCCACTTATGTTATTCTGCGTCCTTAAGATGTGTTTTTTTTCTTTCTACAGGTTATTGTAAGAGTTTTCCCATTGTTTTAATTTTAGTTTTAATATAACATTATAATACCATGCATATTTTTTATTTTTTTTATTATTTAAAGAAGAAACCAAACCAATGTACATATGACATTTGAGGCTTAGGACTATAGAAAAGCAATAAAAGTTTTTCAGTTAGAGTGTTTTCAGCTTGTTTAAATTGTGATAATCGTAATTAATAATCGCATACAATTTCAAAGGAATAATCGACAATTATGATTTTTGTCATAATCGTGCAGCCCTACTTTAATCTAAGAGTCCAGTGGTAAATCAATAAGAATCAATATGATAGATAATTAAATATAGGCTCGACTGCCACAATTGTTTCAAGCACATTTTGCTTTTACTTATTTAGCAATAGGGTAATGATTATTTAATATAATATGGTGTGGATAGATGCAAAGATGAAGTAAAATTCAATAGAAGTTAGCAGCAATAGAGTTGCACACTTCAAATGGGCTTTACAAACTGCCACACTATAGTCAGATGGAACAGGTCAGCAAAGATTCACTTTCCATTTGTCAATTAATATCCCATTTCTCTCAGAAATTTTTATCTATGAATGACGTGTTAGTTCTTTAATGAGTTTGCCTGGACTGATAGCATCAGTTTTCCTGTTTGTCATTCAAATAAACGACATCCCAGTCTGCTTTTTGATATTTGCATATGTGTTTTGTTTAATGCTAATTCGATGGTGATGTTATTCGCATAAGGTTTCCCTTTTCAGTCCTTTGGTACTTTGCTCAGTTATATTTGTATGAACATAAATATATTTAACAACTGTGACGTAAACTGAACAAGTTTCACAGACATTTGGTGGACAGAAATTGATTAATTTAACAAAATTGGGGTATAAAAACTTTTTACCTTCATTTTTTACTGCCTGTAACTGTTCGTGTCTTAAGGACCATTCCAAAGTTCCATGTGCAGTATTTGTTTGTTTATTTGTTTACTTTTTATAAAAAAA